CCAAAAATTGACCCGCAAAAGTACACGAAGTTTGGCGCACAATCAAGCTAAAAGCTCGCGGGCTTTCATGGATCAGATGTGGTGGGTTGGCGGATTGAAAATGGCCTCTCTAACCCCGACGCTGCCCATCTCGGACGTGGTCAGCATCCGGGCATATCAAACGTTTACGGCTCTGAGATCCGCCAGTACCTTGCCCTCCGCCATGAAACGGAGCCCAGAGAGCAATTACTTTCTTACCATACAATTCGGTGGTTTAGAGCAAAGCCTTTTTTGTGTACGAGGGGTTGTTTTGATAGCGAGTGATTCGTTTGCCTGCGCTTCGATTTGGAGATCGCATGGGCCGCACGAAACCTGATGTTTTGGTTAACCAGGAAACATACATTTTTCTGAGGGTGACATCTTCGTCCTCGTCACAGGGTTACACGACCACGTTCGAACCGAGGGAATGAAAAAGGGATCCGGGATAGTTGAAGTCGAGCGAAGGTCATTGGCGGGGTCCCTGGACGGAGATGGGTGCCGCCCAGACACCGCTACAGGAGTGTGTAATCCTACGGCATGAGCCTGGGGCGCGCGCGAGTCGTCGGGTGCACTGGCAGCCAAAGCGTAGCGGCACTTCCATCATCGACATCCAGAGGAGCATCAGTGTCAGGGGCTGAGTCCGAATGCTTGTCAGTGCCATTCTTCATGCGCTTGCCGCGCTTTCCCAAAGTGGGGGAGCGGGAAGGGACTAACTCAGACAAAGTGCAAATGTGTGTGTCGAGAGCGATTGCCAAACAAAGGCGACGAAAACGACGAAGGCAAATGGTCAAGTCGAGCGAGCAGCCGGAAATGGAGGGACCTCTCGATGCGGAGATTGTCCCACCAGTTCGGATGGTAACACCGAATGGGTAAACGACGTGTTTTGCATGTGTGTGTGGCGGTGGCGTGCGCGTGGCGTGTGCGTGTGCGTGTGCGTGTGCGTGTGCGTGTGCGTGTGGTGTGCGTGTGGTGGTTGTGTGTGTGTGTGTGTGTGGTGTGTGGTGTGGTGTTGGTGTGGTGTGGTGTGGTGTGCGTGTGGTGTGGGTGGTGTGTGTGGTGTGGTGTGGTGTGCGTGTGGTGTGGTGTGGTGTGGTGTTGGTGGGTGTGGTGTGGTGTGTGTGTGTGTGTGTGTGTG